CTCTGTAGCGACGCCGGGCCACTGGCCCACTGTCGGGCAACACCCTCCGGGCCCGGAGCATCCGTAGCGACGCTCGTGTACTAGTCATCAGTCAAGAAGCAGAATGACTGTCGGAAATGCAGCACCGGGCTCGGACCCTCTGTAGCGACGCCGGGCCTGTGGCCCACTGTCGGCCGGAGCCATCCGGGCTCGGAAGGCTTCTAGCGACAGGAATGCTAAGTTCGTAACCCTTTTGTTTTGCATTCATCGGAACCGAGGAAAAGAGAACCCTCATCGTGGTTCCACAAGCTCTTTCGGGTATCAAGAGGAACTTGGAGAAGCACAAGATCCCCGGGAAACTGATTTCCGTGCAGGACTGCCTCTTGCAGTTCAGCCAGTACCTCGTCTCCATATCCTGGCTCTGTAGCAGGCGGCATTTCCGGATACTCCCAAAGCTTGTTAAATCTGATTTGTCGGCCAAGGTGGATCTGACCTCTTCTCCTGCCGCGACCTTTCACCTTTCCTGTACAGCTGTAATGGGTCGCTGTTCCATTTTCTGTGCTCTGGGGTCAACTTCTGGGGATTGGGGGACTGCTGCCACTCGGGCTGCGGAGTTTCGACTGCCTTGGAAAACGCTGCTACCATGCTGCCCCACGTCTGGGTCGCTGTTTTAGTTTCCGGTCTGTTCTGGGGTAAACTCTTCTCGGGGCTGGGGGATTGCTGCCAGTCGGGCTGCAGAGTTGCGAAGCTGCCTTGGTAAATGCTACTCTTCATTTGAAATCCTAGGTCCTAGGAGCAGCATTGCCGGCTTAACTCGTTAAAATGCTGCCGCAGGTTTTAGAGGCATTCAATCGCCTGATTGTCGGGCGCCTGCTTTGTGAGTCTGCCATGGGAAAACCGGGGCGGAAATCCAAGGCCAAGGCGAAAGCCAACCCTGAGACTGAGGCAGCTGTCCCAGGCAGCATACCCGCCTCAACTGAGGAGTACGCAAAGGCTTGGGACCTCGTGCAGGAAGCCATCTTGACGTTGAGGGCCGCCGGCACGTGGGTTGAGCACAAGACTGAACCGAATCCTCTGGCTGGGTTGTGCTCCCTGCCCAACGATTTCAAGGGGACGGACATTCCTTCTGCTGATCAGACTCCAGACTGCATTCTGCTCTTGTCGTCTTGCTGCTGTTGTCTCCCGCGGCCCAGTGCCAGTTCCTGAGGTGTCTTCGGTGCAACCTCGTCTTGGGGGATTTGGATTTCGTCAACCCGAATTTCTCGACCATGAGCCTTTCGCGGACCGACGTCGCGAGTGCCAGGGCCTACTGGTACAACCCGGCCGCACCGGTCGCAGAGTTGCCCACAGTGACGGCCCTTTGCAGCGACGACAGCCAGAAGCCAGCAGTCGCAATAGTAGATTTCAAAATTTCAATCATCAGCTCGCGAGCTGTTTGTGTTGTTCCCTGCTGAGGGGAGGCTTGGCCCCTGTTACGCGGCTTGCACAACTCTCGGCATTCGTGCTAGAATGGGCGGCAGCCACCGGGGAACGTGCCGAACAGTTTCGCCGCCGGGCTTGTGTAGCTTGGTTGCCATTCTTCCTCTGCTAAAGCAGGTCTGAAGTCGTGCTGGGATCTGCTTTGCTCAGGCTGTTCCGGCGATGCTTCTTCGTGGGTCCCCAGATTCGGCCGACAGTTTCTGGCATCTTCACGCACATGGCGAAAATATGGAAAAAGTCGCCCAAGAGGCCTGGTGCAAGGTCACCCTTGCTAGGAACGGTCTTGAAAGATGTTGTCCGGTTTTCTGCCAGGAAAGCAATGCCTATTGTTGCCGGCTGGCTGATCGCCTCTTCCAGCACCTCGGCTGTTTCAAATTCCATGGCTGCCATGACTCCGGCTGTCCTGTGACACTGAGGTTGCAGCTCCTGCTGAAGTCCATGGGGAAAAGGTCTACGGCCGAAGACATCTTCCAAGAGTTTCAGGTAGGTGGACTTGGGGTAGCTGGGCTTTCTTTCTCATTCCTGCTAGTTTCGCCTGAACGCAGGCAAAAGTTGCTGATGGAAAGCTCAAGTTCGCGAGCGAAGAGAGCAAGGCTGGTAATCGCCAAGTGTTCTCCAGAGGTCCATAAGCACGCTGCTCAATGCCAGGTGCGGTCGTCGGATATGGTTTCTAAGCTCTTGCGGTTGCGAGAGAGGGCAACGGAAGCATCGACATGGGAATTGTTGCGGGAGATGCAACGAGGCCCTTCTGGTGTGACTTGGGCTGGCCGTTGGAGCTCCGCGGTTCGACTGTTAGGCCCAAGTCGCGACAAAGTCGACTTTGAGTGGTTGATCAAGCAGCCGGTCAAGGGCCTTTGGGAACGAGTTCTTCGACAAGAAGTTCGACAGAAGTGTGGCGGAAATGACCAAAGAAAGTGTCGAGACGACGTGCAAGGCTCTCCTCGCCACGAGAAGGTTGATGGCACGGCTAGTGAAAGAATGCAGTGCTCCCGGCCAGAGCAGAAAGTGGCTGGACTCCCTGGCCGGCATGCTTTCGCCTGAGAGGATACACGTCTCCACCGCGACGGACATCTCCGACGACTTCCTCGCGACGGCGATGCTCGGAGCGACGGACAGCGAGGCCGGGGTGCTGACCTTGCTCAACGACCTGACCAACTTGAAGTACCTGAAGGCAATCGGGGCTGTCGCGGCCTATGTGAACACTTCGTCATCCCAGTGGAGCGACCACAGAATCCAAACAAAGCATCGTCTCCGAAACGGTCCAGGCGATGCTCGGCAGCATTTCCCGCAATCACTGTTAGCAGGGCTTCATCTTTCATTCACGTTCCTTGCTTCCCAGGTACGGGAAAGAGCACCTGCGACCGATCGTACCGCCGGCTGTGACAGAGCCCCCGCCTGCTCCTGCTGAGGAGCCGGAGACTGCTGCTTGGAACGACGCAGATGTTGCTGCTGCTGGTCCTGGTTCTTCAACTTCGGCCCCTGCCACGGCGGTGCTTCGTGACCAAAGGCTGCGAGAGGCGGCTACACACGAAATGCAGAGGTACTCCAAGATGTTGGTTGTGAGCGACCTCGTCGACGCCAACGGTGTCCAGTCTGTGCTTTCTCCGACAGCTGAACCTAAGACCTAAGGATGTTGAAGATGCTGCAGCCCCGCATGGCCAGCGAGCAGGAGCACCGGGTTTGGGTGTTCGACAGTGCCATGTTGATGGAGACGGGTACTGCATGGAGCAAAACCCATAATATCTACGGCCGCACGCCGCCTTTTGCAAAGGGTGCTTTGTCGCCCTGCTGCAAATGAAGGACGTCGTGAGACTTGTGGGCCGTGGGCCTGTAAGCTTTGTAGGACACTAGCGCCCGAGGCAGACGGCCCTGAAACTCTTCGGTCAAACGGCCACCGATGCCCGGGATGTTTTCCTGGCCTTTGACTCCGGCTCAGCGAAAGGCGGCTCGGAGATCCGCCGAAGCTTCGCAAAAATGCAGAAGCAGCATGACACGTGGACTCAGACAGCTTGGACCCTGCTTCCTGCCAGCCAGCGGGACCTGGAGGCGAGAGCCAGTTTCCGTGAGACCGAGTGCCTTGCTTGAAAACTGAGTGACAGCGAACATCAGTTCCGCCTTAACCCTAAACTGCCCGGACTCCTCAGGCCATCCACTGGGCAATCCGGCAAAAGACGCAAGAAGGCCGCTAGTCTGTCGGCACTCGGCGGGTCCGAAGGGGCACATGTGATGGCCGCCGGCTTCACTTTGCAAGCTCGCGACCTTCGCTTTTTGTCTGCCATCGGGACCGCTAGTAACCTTGAAACTCCGTCTTTGTCGTGTTGAAATTGGAGCAGACACACAGACAGACACGTTGCAGGATCGATTCGTCCTACCCCTTCCTTCATGTGCCTTTGCTGGCCCCATGCGATGTGGAACCGCTCGTCACTCGAGAGGACAAAGAGAAGGCCGCTGCCTCGTTAGGTTGGGTGTTCTTGCCTTCCTCCTCCCTGCCAGCTCCTCCTCAAAGAGACGGACGGCGAAGTCTCCCATGACCAGCCTCTGCCGCAACACTTTGTCGATGATGTGGGGCTGAAGGCTTCGCTGCGAATTGTGGTAGAAGGCTTCATCTGAGCTGGCTTCCTGACTCAGGAGCTCGTACCATTGCACTACTGGTCGAAGCACCCATCCTGCTACAAAGAATTGCTGCACCTGCTTCAAGCCTCATGCCTCGTGGCCTTCAGTCCTGACCCAACTCTGCTGTTGGCAGCCTTGGCCTCTTGGTCGATTTTGGCTGCTGAGAGCTGTGTGCTTCAGGTTTGTGCTGCCCTCGCCTTTCCCTGCAAAGGAAATGCGAGTCTCCTGCATTGTTCTTTGCAGAAGCACCGCCCACATGAAGGAGCTTCAGGACTACTTGTTTTCTGCCCTTCGCCACAAGATGCTGGATGCGAGCTGCACCCGCTTCTACCAGAACTTGGACACCGGCGACGGCATGGACCATGCAGCTGCCTTGCGACAGCAGGTTGAGGAGGGTCAGGGCGGCGACAACTGCACGCAGACGCCGCCGGAAACGCTTGCAATCCAGCCTGCAGACACGGACACTCAGATGCAGGGTGAAGAAGAGGACCAATGCGAAGAAGAAGAGCTGGAGGAGCTTGAGGGCGAAGGAGGCAATGTTGAAGACCTGCTGAAGGAGATTGATTCGCCAGTTTGAGTAAGTCAGTGCTGTGCAGTTTGATTTTCCTATGGTCTCATGTGAGACAGAGCGGTGCGGCTGAAGGGGCCGGGCTTTGAACATGGTAAACTGCGGTTGGCAGTCCACGTGCACAGAAAGCCCGGGTGAACGAAGCTCAGCCATAGCTGTTTCTTCATGTAGCTGCTGCCGGTGCTTAAACAAAGTCGGCTTCCTTCCGTGCTGGCATTGTTAGTGTGCTCGGGTACACGGCTTGCATGGCCCTTCACAGTCTTCACACTTTCAACTTTGAAGAATCGTCGCCGCGGCTGCCATTTCAGATTTTGTGCTGATCGAGGGCCTGTTCAGATTGTCAGCTTTTGTCTTTGCTGACATGTCCCACACGACCAGCGATGCCAATGCTGTGGCCAGCATCAAAACGGGCCTCACCAAACGTCGGAGCCTTGTCGCCCGTATGTTTCTTGTGGTCTGCATGCTTTCAGCTTAAGGCCAGAAGGTGGAGGACATCTCGGCCGAGCAGCTGCAAAGCATTTTGTCGAACAGCAAGGTGCTCTGAGCCTCGGGTGTCTGCCGTGATTGCAGCATTAAAGTGTCAGGCCGATTTTGGCACACTGTGGACCCTCTGCGACAAGCTCTATTCGAGTGGTCCCCAGCGATTGCAGTTTGGAAGTCGGAAGGGCTCTGCAGATGTTGCATTTGAGGGCCAGTCCCGCCAAGAAGAAGGGGAGCGCCCAGAGTCTGCCCCCTCCTTACATTTCGATTCAACAGCAAGATTTCGGGGTTGACACATTGACGGTTGACTCATTCCTCTGGCAGGTTCTGTGGTGTCAAAGAATGCAGGCCGCCTGCCCCGCCTCGCAGTCCCGCTTCTGCACCGGCACCGCAAGCAGCTCCAGAGCCGAAAGCAGCTCCGAAGAAAGGACGCAATGCGGCTGTGAAGGCACAAGAGGCCAAGGACAAGCCGAAGAAGATTATCCACTACGGCTTCAGCTCCTTCGACGCCCCGCGGATTTGCACGGCAATCAATCACTTGATAATCGCGGCAGGGCCCAAAGACATGAAGTACCACAGCTTTGAGATCGTTTGGGCGCCTCGAAGTGGAGCGGCCGGTATGATGTCCGGCAAGCCGGTTTCGCGGCCGTGGTATGCCTTGGCACCTGCACCGGCAGAAGGCGGACAAGGCCGGCAGGCAGTTCTTGAGCATCCCGGGTTCAAGGGTTCACATGCACTGGCAGGACCCCTGCTCTGGAACTTCTTGGACGGAGTCGTGAAGCACCAGGACAGGACGATGAACACACAGGATGTTTCCGGAAAAATTGTGCGGTTCGACGCTCGCTTGCCTTGGACGTGGGTGCCCGCATCCGCACCGGCCCTGTGCATCATTTGTCGCTTCGTGGCTCTCGGCTTCACAAGCCAAATCAACTCTGAGATGAAGAAGGCTGGATTTCCAGTCGGCCAGGGCACCGCATTGGCGACGCTGCCGGGGGCATTGGCGACCGGCTCGATGATGATGAAGCTCGGTGGCACTCTGGGCAGAAGATAATGAGGCTCTCTGCCGCCGGTGCTTTTCTGGCCTTCCCTCAGCCCCTGACTTCCAGGAAGTTGGCTGCCAACAAGTTCAAACAGGATCACCCGGCCCCGCTGAAGGCAGGACGGGCTTGGACGAGAGCTTCTGTGCCGTGCTGCTGCCTTTGCTCAGGACCTCGTGAGCAAGTACTGCGAGCACTGTGTCTGCGACAGCTGTGCTGCGATTCGCAAGAGGCACCAGGATCGACGAGGAGATGCGTGAGAATCCTGGGGTGCCGCTTATACGCCACGATGGCCGATTTTGTCTGGTCAGATCTTGCTCCTTGGGGAAAAAGCATTGCTGGCCTGCTCTTTCGGCACGCCTGTCACCTAGCAGCTTGAAACATGTGCAACAAACATGCTGGGAGTGTTATTGGATTGTGTGCCATTGATGTTGCTCAGCTCCCTGAACCAGGCATTGCTTCCGACAGCGGGCCAAGGACAACCTCAATTCGAAATAGATTTCTGGGCCACGCTTGGGCCTGCCACAACCAGTAGGGCAATCTCAATTCGACATGACAGAAAGGCTCGGACAACGGGCCTAGGACAACCTCAATTGGAAATAGAGGCTCCGACAGTGGGCCCGCAAACCCTAAGACAACCTCAATTCCATATGACCCCAAAACCCTCCACCATGTTGAATTGTGGTTGTCTAGCCTCCCGTCGGATGGCGACCAGCTCGTTGGACAGGACTCGGCGAGGCCAGTTTGATTCCGCAAGTGTCATTGGAAAAAAATTTTCGATCCCCAAAGTGTACCGGACAACCTCAATTCGACATGGTAGGACAACCTCAATTCGATATGGTAGGACAACCTCAATTCGACATGAAACCCAAAAATCTGCATTGGACTGGAAAGATACCTACATTACTTACATTAGCAAGATTGTACGGATGATATTTGCAGAAAGAAGATTCTAAACATGGCATCCCTCAATGGTTTCGCTACGAAGGGAAAGATCCATTCATGTTGTGACGGGAGAGTTGACTTCCTCGGCGGCTACGTGATACAACTTACGCTTTTGAGGGCCTGGAGCTTGACGGGATGTTCTGAGCATAGTTCGTTCTGCAGAAAGTCGTGGCAACGAAATTCTTGGCTAGGTGGCATTATGGACGGATATTGATTTCTCTTTATAGGGGTCCGATGGACCCCAGATGGACCTGAGGGGTCCGATGGAGCCCAGAACCCAGTCAGGTTTGTTGGTGTGGGTTCAGTGGTGATGGTATCTTGGGGTGGGAAGAAGCCAAGTGAACAGCACCATTCTGGATCTCGGATTTCGTTCACACACATGCAGGTGTTCAGTGCTGAGCAAGGGCGCCAACAAGCTGCTGTGACTAGGTTGCATGCACTCCGTCATACTACAAAGTGTGAGAGTCTTGACAGTGAGGCTGGTTGCTGCTTCGGGGATCCGTTTACAGCGACTTTGGTCGAGAGAGATCGTTGCTTGTGTGTTCCATGCCGGGCATGCTGACACGATTGACTCTCAAGATTCAGAGCTTTGCTCATCCAAGGTTCCATCACATCAATGCCGAGCTGTCCATACAAGTGTCCCAAGTGCAATGCTGCGAGTCGGCGGAAGCCGCCTGCTCTCTGCAATGGCTGTGCCTTGATTGTCGAACATTGCTATTTGAAGCATTGTGGACGCTGCCTCCTTTCTCTTTTCCGGTCCAAGGTGACGTGAGAAACACTCGTGGTCACAACCTCAAGAGCGACAGGAGGCAGCAGACGGGCAAGACCTGGAAACAGCGCAGCTCTTCGAAGAGAGTGGTGGCATCGTGGTGGGACGAAGAGATTGAGCTGCCTCGGCCGACGCCGAAGGGCGGTTTGGTGCCGCCGGCTGAGCAGCAGATGGAGCACTGGATCTGGATTAAGCATGCCGTGAACCCCGGCTCTGGCATTGGCTACTTGTTCCAGGGAAGCTGCTTTGCCGCATCTGAGCATTGTTGCCATTTCCTGCCAATCAAATTTCTTCGGCTGTGCCGTGGATTGGGTGCCCCAGGTCTGTGCGATGATGTCATCGATTTGAAGGGCAAGCCGAAGTGCTTCGATCTGTTGAGGAGCAGCCAGTTGCTCGGAGAAATAGATAGATCCTCTGTAGTTCTTGGAAATTCTGAGTTCTTCAATTGCAGTGGCAAGTATCCGGTTTCACAATTGCAGACAAAGCTCAGGCAGGCGGCCCCAGGCAGCGGCAGCGGCAGCAGCAGCGGCAGCGCCAGCAGCAGTGCCAGCAGCGGCCGAAGCGACGGAGCAAGCCGTGCAATGGCTGTGTGAAAACAAGATCCGAGCTGTGCAAGCATTCAGTCATGGCGGGCAGAAACCACAAAACGCTTGAAAAAGTATTGACTTTTTTCACCCGGGACACTTAAAAGCCTAGAAGTGGGGTTATCCTAATTATAACCTACTTATAACCTTACTTACCAAGTCCCGTGAGCCTTCAAGTAGGGTTTAGGATGTCTGGGGTGTAGGGGTAGGGTTTGTGGCAGTGGGAGTCACTGATTTAAGAGGCTTTTAGGGTTTAGGGTTTTAATCCACATATGTTATCCCTTTGGTGGTTTGGGTTTAGGGTTTCGGGTTCATGAGGGCCTTGGGTTTGGGTTCGGGTTTATAGGGGCTTTGGTTTGGGGGTTTAATGGTTTGAAGGATTCTAAAATGGGCTCGACGGTTTGTGATACTGGGAGGCCGATACATGAATTTCTTTGGTATTGGTCAGGATTTCATGAGGTTGTACGTTTCGACAGTTTCTTTTGTTGGGGGGGAGCAGGGAGGCCTTGATGCATGGTAGGTTTTGTTGATATTGAGAATCCTAAAGGTCTTCTCCGGGGCCTACTAGCTTCTATTGATTGCACTGGCGGCTGACCCTCAACACCAATCCCGCCTTTTCAGGTTTCCATCATGGGTTTTAGAATCGTGAAATTGGTTATCACTGTCCCAAAACCAGGCTCGCGGTGCAAAAGCAGCAGTGGGGCTCAAGAGGAAACAACGCAGGATTGTCGAAAGCCCAATTCGGGGTTTAGGGCTTAAACGGTTTCGGCGTTCAGAGCGAAGAGTAGGTGACAAAGAGTCCGCAAAAGATTGACACAGGTTTTCATTAGGTTAAAGGCATTGTGGGCATGTGGCTCTCAAACGCCTGTAGATGCACCATCAACTGGAAGCCCTATCAAAGCTCTCATAAATCGCGTATGATCCTAACAACCGACATAAAGCGATTACAAAACCCTGTAAATTCACTACACATATCCCAGGAAGCAGGATGTGGACGAGATCGTCATAAACGGCCTGCAGCGAAAACAACCTCTAAAAAGGACATAACAAGACACCATTGAACTTTGAAGCTCCATATGAATGTAGTTTCATCTTATAGCAACCCCAGGAAAGCAGGACGAGGAAGATATTCTTGCTGCCTAAGGGTCCCGTATAGCACAACCCTAAACCCTGAACGTCCTAAAACTAACATCGAACCTGAAAAGACCAGGATGTCGAGGAGATCTTCCGTGAGGAGGCACTGCAGGGCGCTCGCCCGGCTGGAGCTCTCGTTGCCCGGCGCTGTGAGGTGCAGGGCTAAGAGCCTTCTGGTTCTATTCTTGTGTGTGTGTGTGTGTGGGTTGGTGTGGGTGGTGTGTGCGTGTTCCTGACTGTTTCTTCAATGTTGGAGCTGGGGCCCTTGACGTTCGTTAGAAATCCTCAACCCTAGAAATTCTCAGTCCGTGAACCCGTAAACCCTTCAAGCCCCAAACACAGCGCAGTGGCGCCAGGGTATGGCCGCGCTGCTGCAGGAGCTGCTGAGTTTGGAGGCTCAAAATCTGTAGGACCTTATTCCTAGGACCTGGAGTATGCCCTTTTTCCCTTTTTTGGGGGTTCATGTTCCCTTATAAGCCCCTTCAAACCAAAAAGGGCACCCTTTTTATGCCTAGGTTACTCTTGGGTCTAGATTCCCTTTTTAAGGGTTCAGGTTCCCTTATATGCCCCTTTAAACCAAAAAGGGCACCCTTTTTATTCCTAGGTTACTCTTGGGCCTAGACCCGAATGTAGAGGTCGGAGTATTTAGGGTTTAGGGTTTAGGGTACCCTCATCGCGCCTATCTAGTTACAGTACCATGTGCCCTTTCTTGTAATTACGCAGGCCCCTAGTACCACTCCGAAACTGTGCTGGTCCTAAGATCCCAGACCAACAAGTATACTCGACAACAGCCTAGCCGTTAATGTATATACATATATATATATATAGAGAGAGAGACTTTCTAAATCTGACAACAAGTATAGCGCGTGCTCTTAAGCCACAAGATCCAGATGTTGGCTCCCAAAAACCTCAACCCACAATTAAGCTACTAAACCTTTTGACCTTGGACGCGGTAACCTCGAACTTCGAGGATCATGTCCTCTCTAAACTGAACAACCTGAGGTCCCTTGATGCAGGAAAGCAGAGCTTAACGACGGAGGGCTCAGTATTGTGATTTCAATGACATCCCTTCAACTACTACAGACGGCCGACTAGTACCATGTACAAGGTATCCCTTACAGTTCAGGCGGCGTGTTGTTCTCCCTACAGTAAGGGTCGATGTGCCCAAATAGTATATACTTTGGACCCCACTGTACCTACATATGGATTACTTTAAGGCCCAAGTACATACTACTTGGGTACATGGACCCTTGGGGTCTGATATGAGCGAAGTTCATTCACTGCGGGGTATCGCGCTTGCGCCGTCTGGGAAATCTGAATGGCTTGGACCTGAAACATGCGAGTCGAAATGTGTGAATAGTACAGGTTTCCTTCATGAGCTTAGTTTGGTGTACACCGAAACCCAATTCTAAATACTAAGGCCCTGAAGCTGCCGAACCTTTATAGTAACCTGTACAGAAGCCTTGCATGAACCTAGGGCTCCAAGTATATATAATTAATACCTACTTTGGGGCCTCACGTCCATAAGTACTACCTACTTTGGGCTTTTTGGAGCCCCAGGGGAAGGAACCATAGTCAAACCATCAAAGCTCCTACGTTAAACGGCAGGTCGTGACGACAGAGGAACTGCCACCTGGGCTTGAAATCAGAGGGCTCCAATATCCCTTGACTCAGGAAAATATCTTAAGGATCCTAGTCCTACTATAATTTAATTAAGGTATCTTCCTTAATTCAGGGATACTGGAGTCTCTGGGGGTCAAGGATCCTAACGGAGCCCTTAACTGGGTTTAAGGTTAAGGTGTGGGGCTATCATTTTTTGATAGGCAAGCTCTTGATGTAGTTCAGAAGACCAAACCATAGCCACCCCGAGTAAATTAGATATGAAGCACATGTAATAGCAACCCCACACACACACAGAAACATTAGCTTGAAAGTGCAATCGGCGGGGGGGGGCTCAACAGACCACCAGAAACCCTAGGATCTGACAACTAACGTTGTTTGGGATCCGCCTTGCAGTGACCCTTCATACCCCAACTGTGGGATCTTTAGGCTTTCGGGTTTAGGGTTTGGGGTTCTTCACGTACGTCGATGTCCGTGGACTCCGAAACTGGAAGCACGCATCGTCAGGCAAAGCCTAAACCTACTTGAGATTCCTATGTTCCAAAATGAAACTTACCGCGCCAAGCCTAGTGGTGACGGACGTTAGGGTGCCGTACTATTCAAGAACAGCAGCACAGGGAAAGCACAGACAAAGCCTAGACCGTTTTGGATCTAAACGGCCCTATAATTACCCTAAACCTCAACAGCAACTCTAAACCTCGCACTCTAAAGCTGGAACCCGAAATCCTGAACCTCAAAGACAACGACATCTCGCAGACATCCTAGACCCCCAACTATATACCCCCTATTATACCCCAAGTACCTTCTATTAAGGACCATCTGGCCTCCTTGAAAGGGCCTTTTTTGGGGGGCGGTCCTGGGTAAGACCCGACAAGGCTCACGCCCGACCAGCAGGGCCGAACCGCACTGCACCGTGCTGCGGGCAGCGGTCAAGCTACAGTACTGCTGGCAGTGAAGGAGCCCCAGGGCAAGTGTAAATAATTAGGGACCCAAAAAGGACATAAGCATAAGAATTGTTGGGGATATCCCTACTTTATTGGGCTTCGTTATAAGGGGGTTTATATGGGATATCCCTATCCAAGTTTTTGCCTATGTGCTTTTTGGGTGCCCTAAATGAAAGGAGGGACCCTTAATAAGGACCCCTAGGTATATACCCTTAATATAGCTAGTATATACCCATTAATTATATAGCCCATTATAGGGTAGGGGTCCCCATTAAAGGTCACTCCTTTTCCCCTTTGACCCAGGCAAAGTGCCATAGGAATTTAGGATTTCGGGGATTCGGGCTTAGTGATTTAGGGTCTGATTAGGGGTGTGAGGTTTAGGGGTTTGGGGGCTTGGAAGTTCAGGGATATGGATTTTGGGATCGCGGTCATAGAAATGCATTTTTCCAGGTTCGTTGCTGAAGGGGTTTCCCTGGACCCCGAAAGTGTCCGGGATCATAGCCGATCCATATGTGTGGGGTCATCATTTTTGCATACTTTTGAGGGTTTAGGCTTCCAGTGCTTCGGGTACGGGGGCTCGAGACATCTGATAATATAGAGGCCTTGATAATTATCTACACTATTCTGTTCCTTATTGTACTTATAGTATGGGCCCCGTATTACAGCCGTTGTCCTACGAACCCAAAATACCGTTTAAAGTAATCCGTATAGACCGCTTCCAAAGGAACCACTAAATGAACCCTTCTCTGATCATTAAGGCCCCTATGTTATGTGGCTCTGGGTTTGGGGCCGTGGAGCTTTTTGGGCTTCACTGGGAAGTTTAGGGTTTCGGGTTTAGGGTTCCTAGGATGCCCAGTAGTACCCTTATTCCCTTTTTGTAGTCCTAGGTTCCTTATAAAGTTGCCCAATACCAAAAAGAGAGGCCTTTTTATTCTTAGGTCACTGGGTATCCTAGGTTAAGTGTTTAGGGGTTTTGGATTGGGGTTGAAGGTTGCAGCGGGCTTTGGGGGTGGAAGGTTTCAATAAAATGCCAAAGAGCGCCAGGCTGAATCTCTGAAGCAAGTTGCGGTTTGGGTTTGATAACACCTGCTGACCGTGAACACGTACATGGACCCCTGCAATGGAATTCTCTTTGGAATTGAAGTGGTGCTTCGGTGGCCTTCCTGAAAATCCCCAAGTGAATAACCTTGCAGGGTTCAGTTGCAGACCGGCATCCAGTACACCACGGGTTTTTGTGGGCAGGTGGAGCCTTGCCACTCTAAACGGTATCGATCAAGACCTTGAATCCTAAAAAACCGACAACTCCACGAACCCTAGGATATACCCTAGCCCAAGAGCCCGACGCCCGGAAATCCTAAATTGAGACCTATAGCAACCCTAAACCTTCAATCCCAAACTGAAACCCTAAATGCCTGCGTCCCGACCAAAAGGAGCTGTCCGGAGCTACACACGAGCAGATCGAGGCCAGCAGCTGTTGTTCTTCTGGCTTGGCCGGTGATCTACAGGTCCTTTATGAGGTGTTACAGGCCTTTGCTAGAAGGTTCAGAGCCTAGGTTTCCCAATAGTTCCCACCACTCTTGCTTAGTCTTTGTTATGCTTATCGTGTATCTTGTACAATGTATCCCAACACCCCGTGTTCATCATTATTATGGCCACTATACTCTAGCGTCAAGCTTGGTTCCATTTGGAGAGCTCCTGCGTCCTCAGACTCTGGTACGGTTCCTGGATCCTGGCATTGGATCTTAGAACCATTCAACTCCTGAACCTGATTCTTCGAGTCCCCGATATTGCATATTTTTCGAGGGCAAAATCACTGGGTCTGGGCCTACGAAACGGAAGGCGGTAGTTAAATTACTGTAAATACTACTGGCCTAACCGTAGACGAATTCGTTAGGCCTAGGCCAAGCCGTCGTCTACATTCGGAGCGGACTTTAGGACTCCAACTGATGAATCGTCATTCCCTCCACTTCATGCTACAGGCCCTAGACCTCTAAAAATTACCTTCATGGGAGTTTCCGAAAATAGGGGACCCTAATATAGTGCCCTAAATAGTAGGATTCTAACCCCAAAATGAGGTACCGCTAAGTCCCGGAAACTCGCGTGTAATTAATAATGGGCAAAACCCGAAGAGCTCTGAATCTGGAAGTTTCCTTCATAATACCTAATATAGAGGCCTGCATAATTACGAATACTGGTTCGTGGGCTCCTTAGTATAATAATAAGGATAGAATATTGAGCCCCAAAGCCCTATTGTAATCATCAAGGCCCCCACATTCTGCCGACGTCATAGGAGTAAAGCAGTTCTAAAAGCCCTCGTCAACGAGCCATGAACCTTTCATATCCTTGAGGAAGCATTAGACAGCCAATTGCCAAACAGTCGCTTGAATCACTGATACAGAACTACCCTCTCATTGTCCCTATATGTTCATGTTGTCATATACTCGCCCAAAAACATTCAAAAACCATATACATGTTGAGGGTTTTACATCAAACACTAGAACTAGCACATATATAGTATCTGTAAAGGAAGCTTTGTAAGGTTGTAGCCATATCTCACCAAATCCTATAAAACCGAACACCTGTTGAAAATCGCTTAAATCTCTTGCAGATCCGCTCTGAAGCCCTACGCAAGCCTCTTACAACTCAAGCGTTGGCCCCAAGCCTGTGTTTCATGAACTCTGAATCGCAATATCCGTGATGAGACCAAGTCCAAACCCTAAACTCAGAAACCCTTAAACCCTAAACTCAGAAACCCCTAAACCTGAAACCCTAAACTCAGAAACCCCTAAACCCTAAACCCTAAACTCAGAAGCCCCTAAACCCTAAACCCTAAACTCAGAAACCCCTGAACCCGAAGCCTCTGAGATCATCAAAAGTCCGTTGCACTTAAAAAAAACTCCGAGGCTGTGGACCTCCAAAACCGTGGTTTGTTGCACCACGCCGCCCTGGCCAACGATGCGGAGTGCGTCCGAACCCGAGGATGTGACGCTTCAGGGTTTAAGAGTTTAGGGTTTAGGGCTTAAAGGGCTTATAGGGTTTATAGGGTTTACAGGGTTTAGGGTTTCAGTCGTTCGGGGGTTAGAAGTTGTTGGTGCCGTTTAGTTTTAATCGGCCTGCAAAGATTATTGTTCTTTTTGGCTTCCGGACAGCAAAATCAGTCCAGAGAAGGAAGGGTTTGCAGGCGGGTTTAGGGTCTCGAGTTTAGGGTTTCAGTAGAAGCCCAAAAGTTGGAAACCCAATAGCGTCAATCCTTCAGAGCAATGTATAGGGAATCCCAGCACTATTTCTTTGGCCTTAGTCCGGTTTCCAACTTTATGGGGTTGGCCTTACAGTAGAACTCTATTATAGATCCCTTATTCTCGACCCCTTATTATGGAACCCTTATTACAGACCCCTTCAAAGGAGCCCTTTAATGGGAAACCCTTACTGTCAGGGGTTTGCTGTTGGTGGGGGCGATGGCAGGGCCAGGGACCACGCTGAGCCTTTTGCCGGCTGCTGCAGGTCCATGGTATATTTTTTTTGTGCAAGGGGTGACCCAGGGAGGCGAAGGACAAAAGACAAACGAGCTTAGACTGGGAGCTTTAAACTTTTTGGCCTTATATATGAGCTCTATCTTAGAAAGCTTGAACTTTTTGGGGCCCGGTTGTTGAAGAAGAGGGGGGGCAGTAGCAGCATCAGCAGTAGTAGCAGAAACAGTGGCAGGAGCGACAAGTCAAAGATAGTCTAGCTCTTGTTGGTCCTCCTCGTCCTCATCCATCATCACCACCGCGACTACCACCAGCACCATGATATCACAGTCTTCACCATGTTGTCCATCGCGATGAATTTCTCCAACGAAGCCACGACCGCCCCTCCGCCCTCTTCTTCACGTCATCATCGGTTTGTTCACCATCATCCTCGAGATTGTTAGGGCCAGTGTCTTTCAGCCCTTCATCTGATGCTCCGCTAGCATTGCAAGTCGTACGACTTCGCTGAAATCCAGTGACCTCGAATTCCTGGCTTCCAATGAGCTGAGGTCCGCGCGGTGATCCGCTTCACCCCCCGACCGCCTCTGGAGCTGGCTGAGGAGGACAGCGCCCCTGTCGGCTAGGGAGGCTAGGGATCCCAACACAGATGGAGAATCTGGAAACAGCCGAAATTTATTTAATTAACAAGCGACTTAGGATGAGGAGCCGGTGCATTTCCTAAGAGGCTTGGGATGAGCGGTTCAAGCTTTATGCACTGTAGAAATGATGGGCTTGAAAACGACTGAAGGATCAGAAGAGTTAGGATGGTTCCGTATGCTTTAGAGGGTTTAGGGTTTAGTTTAGGGTACTACGTTAATCAGGATCATGGTGTTCCAAGTTCCTGGCTTCACGTTCAAGCTGAGGGTAGAGATCCTATATAAGGCCTGAATGACTACCAATGCTACTCTTTTTTGGTGCCGCTCTCTCTTGTTCTGATTATCAATCAAGGCGCCTATTTGAGGGAAGTTTCGCGGCTCTAGCATGAAATTTTGGTCTTTCACCAAACCAAAGACCCGACGATGGAAGTTTTGGTACAGTCCTGACCAGAGATACGAACATCCCGCCCCCCCCCCCTTAGTTAGTGAGGCTTCAGAAATGCCAGGGTATCTTGAAGTACTCTATATCAAAGTACCCTCATAGATCTCTTAGAGCAATTTTTCTAGACCCCTTTAAAAGGAACCCAATTCTAACTATTTCGGCCCCTACATCAAAGTACGCTCATAGATCTCTTAGACCCCTTTTAAAAGGAACCCAATTCTAATTATTAAGGCCCCTACGGTATCTGAAGGTACTCATGGAGTAGTGCAGAGCAGGGGCCGGTGGCCGGGATCGCACGTGTCTCATTCCTCTAAGGATTTCGGGCGTGACGGCTTTTCGGTCTTACATTTAGGGTTTAGGGTTTATAGACTTATAAAGTTGAAAGCCCGATGCCACAAGTTCATTAGTGGAAGGTTTAGGGTTCTGAGCCGCAGCCCCTAAGCCACGAGCGAAAGAGTCCCATGTCAAAAGGACTCCTGGCACCACACTCCCATTCACCTGGCGGTCACTTGCCTGTTTGCAAGAGCGGGGTGAGGGCTGGGCGGGCCTTGGAACTTTCATTTTTAATTAGGGTTCAGGATTAGTGGGTGTTTACCTCAAGGCTCAGACAGTTTGGTAATTAACAAGCATGGCTGTCATTCATTAAATGGCTTAATTAGAACTTATAGTTTGAACTTTACATAACCCTCCACGCAACCGCATCTTGGTCAGGGTTTCGGGCTACGAGATTAGACTCTCTGTCTCTCTCCCCCTCTCTCTCGCATAGTATATACATACATACATACATACATACACATATGTATAGTGCAGGTTGAGGCCCACCCTAACCCTAAGGACTCATATGCTCTGGGCTCTGAGTCCGGCATGCCATGCTATGCAAGTTTTAACCCCAATTTAGACAAGTTCTCTCCCAGCTAGCAGATAGACCTAGCGGCTTGAAGGAAGCAAACATGTGCCTACATCGCAAACAAACTCTAAAGACGCACTTATCGAATACTGTCGAAGCTCTACTTCATGCACATCCACACACGGCCGGTAGTGGCCACACAAAAAGCGAACCCTACATGAGCAAGCTGAAACTAAACATGTGAAAATGTTGGAAAGTTATATGCATGTGCCTGTGTGTAGGTGTGTATATATATATATGTATACGTACACATATACCTACATGTACACATACATATAAACACAACTAGATATATCAAGACTCTTTCAAAGGTTTCATTACATATGTACACACATGTACATGTACATATAATACCTACGCACACAAATACATCCAGACATACATGCATACGTGCATACATGCGCACATTCTTCAGTCTATACGTTGTATACTCATATGTAATATATGTACATACAGGCAGATCGAAAGAGATGTGTGCACTTGTGCGCATGTGTATGTGTGCGCATCCAAGCAAGTGTCTGTCGACCCCTGCTATGCTAGAAGTTGTACGCATATGCTACGATGCATTTAGAATGTTGTTTGTCTCAGGCAGAGCTCGTATACCAGAAGCTAGTTGGGAGTTTCCGAAAATGGGGGACCTTAATATAGGACCCTAAATAGTAGGATCCTTACGATAAGGACCCCAAAATACGGTACCGCTAAGTCCCGGAAACTCCCAATTTCAGACCCAAGTTCATCCAAAATTCAATTGGGTCCATGTACCCATATAGTGCATATCTGTTTGCCTCGGGTTATATAGGAGCTTCAAGATCAAAGTCGCTACGCAACCTAAAGCGAGCCCGTTAAACCCTAAGCCTCAAATCATTGGGGCCACATCAAGTTGATCCCATCCACCAGTAGCCGGCCCTAAACCATGACCCCAGGCCACCGTCGATGGCGTGGAAGCAATCAAAGCGCTGATCGAGATGGGAGTTCCTTTCGACAAGCACATGGGCAGCTCGGCTGTTGGGGTTTAGGGCTTTGGGGCTTTGGGTGTAGGGTTTGGGGATTATGATTTAGAGTTTAGGGGTTTCAGGGTTCGGGGGTTCAGGGTGTGCGGTTTGGGGTATAGAGTTTATAGAGTTTAGGGGTTGGGGTTCTTGTGGGTCTTGCCAAGGATTCACGGGTCAGGGCTTTTGATGTTTTTTTGTCGATTTCCGGGGTAGTTAGGGTCGATAGGCCTTTCGGTTTTGTGTCCACCCGAAAAAACCGGAACCCGATTTCAGCCCATACCTAAATGCCCCCTCAAATCCTGTATGGAATGCCCTATACACACATGAAATACAGAACTCTTACAGAACCCGAAGCCCGAACCATTCCACCCGACTACAGGCCCAACAAAGTTGGACGACGGTACTGTGGTCCTCGTCCAGACGAGAGAAGCCGAGGAAGAGGTGCTGTTGAACGGTTTTTGCGGGTTTCAGGGGTTTGGGGTTCAGGGACCTCACGCCGTACGCACAAGATCCCGTTGCCCCAGAGTCTTGAAGCTTTAGACCTCCTCAAGCCTTCAAGCTCTAAACTCACGCACTGTGCCTTCGGAGACGCGTCCAACAAGCCCGACGGAAAGAACATTGCAAGCATGTAGAGCCCTCATAAATCCCCATCAACTTCAGAAAATGCTGAATGCTCCGTAATTATCAAGGCCACATGCCCTGAGAGTTTTTGCTGGAATGGCATGGCACGTTCCGGTGTAGCATTTCGGGGATGTTTCGTGGAGCTCACTTCGTTGAGTTCAGGGTTTAGGCCTTATAGGTCTTGAAAAGGTTTTAGGGCTTTGGGGTTAAGGGGTGGTGAACCGTCAATCATCCCGTCTAATAGCTTTCACCGCACCCTACTGTGACAAGGTATCTGACTCTCTTTCTTTTGTGTAGTCAGGTGTTGAGAACGGTTGGCCCTCATCCCCGCAGCCAAACATTGTTCTTGGATAGCTCACCGTAGAAGCAACAAGCAGAACCCAGTTGCCTGCCCAGTGGGTTGCTGCCATATGAACCCCAAACAAACTTTCTACATGGATAGCAGGGCTCTGAGGAGAAGTTGACAAGAGCCTGCAAGAACCGACGCATAAACCCTAGAAGCACCCTGCAGAATCAACGCGACATCTGCCCTGCAGAGAACCTGCTGCGTAGCTGCGATCTGCGGTACAGGGTTTATAGGGTTTCGTGGGTTTCCCTTATAAACCCTGAACCGGAAGCCGTAAAGCCGCAACCCGAAACGTCTTGCCCGCACCCCTAAACCCGAAGCCCAGAGGCTCCAATATCCCCAAGTTAAGGAACATACCTTTAGTTATAGCAGGATCCTTCATATGATTTGAGGAACACCCTTAATCATAGCAGGATCCTTAATATGATTTGAGGAACACTCCTTAATTAGGGCGTATCGGAGTCCCCTAAACCCTAAACCCTCTAGCTCCCTTATAAGATCCGGAGCCCTTACAGGATCCTTTTAAGGTAGAAGCCAGAAAGTTGCAATATGATTATCCTAACCCTTCTATGGTAAATTATAGGGTATCCTACCCTAAAGCCATATTCCAACTTTCTGGAGTTCCTTTTAAAGGAAAACTAGGAGTCTTTGGAAGCTCCGAAGCGGATCGGAGGCCCCAGCAGAGTGGCAACTGGCCTTGGTGCGAGGTGGGAGTGTCCGAAAATAGGGGACCCAAATATATAGCACCCTAAATAGTAAGGTTCCTTAAAGGGATCTATATGGGTTCTATAAAGGGTTTAGGGTTCCTTAAAGGGATCTATAAGGGTTCTATAAAGGGTTTAGGGTTTAGAGTTCCCGAAAATAGGGGACCCCAATATATAGCAGCATAAAATAGTAAGGATCCTTTAAGAGTTCTTTAAAGGGATCTAAAAGGGTTCTATAAAGGGTTTAGGGTTTAGAGTTCCCGAAAATAGGGGACCTAAATATATAGCAGCCTAAAATAGTAAGGATCCTTTAAGAGTTCCTTAAAGGGGTCTATAAGGGTTCGATAAAGGGTTTAGGGTTTAGAGTTCCCGAACATAGGGGACCCCAATATATAGCACCCTAAAATAGTAAGGAGGGTCTATAAGGGTTCGATAAAGGGTTTAGGGTTTAGAGTTCCCGAACATAGGGGACCCCAATATACAGCACCCTAAAATAGTAAGGATCCTTTAAGAGTTCCTTAAAGGGATCTATAAGGGTTCTATAAAGGGTTTTAGGATCCCTAAACCCTAAACCCTAAACCGTTTAGTTTAAGGATCCCTTAAGGCTTCCTTTAAAGGGAGAACTGCCAGGCCTGGCAGGCAACAACCTGACGGTGAAGTTCGCCGGAGCCAAGGACTGTCGGGTATAGGTTAGGTACGGCCCCTAGACAGTAAGAGTCTATAATAGGGCTACTATTAAGGTCCTACTATATCTATATTATGAATCTTATTCAACTATTACTGAGTGGGGGCCGTACCCAAGGTATAGGGCTTAGGGTTTAATTAGGGGTTTAGGGTTTTAGGGTTAGGGCTTGAGTGGTTGAGAAATTAGGGTTTCGGTTTTAGGGGCCCGAGATAAGAAAGTATTTCATGACTTTCAACGCGGAATACCATGTGTAAGACCCTTTATGAAGCCCTTCTCCGACAGCCTCCCACACCGGGGGAGGTTCTTTCTGGATGTTTAGCTTGGATACTGCCCCCACTCAGCAACAGCCGGATAATATTCATGATATAGATATATCAGGCCCTTAATAGTAGCCCTATTATAGACTGTTACTGTCTAGGGGCCGTACCCAATGTTTAGCTTCTCAGGCTCTTAGTATCACAGAGACCACTGGCTGTTAGGAGGTTAAAGTCAAAGCCAGAAAGTTGGAATATGATTATCCTTAACCCTTTATGGTAAATTATAAGGTATCCAACCCTGAAACCATATTCCAACTTTCTGGAGTTCCCTTTATGTTGATTGCTACGGAGCGTCTAGTCTCGGGCGGTTGTCAAACTTACCTGAAGGACCAAATGACCCTTAAAAATAGGAGCCTTATCCCCATATACTATGAATCCCTATAATGGTATATGAACCTTAAACCCTTTTAGGATTCATTTCGTCCTTAAGGTAGGGCCTAGGACCTAGGATGCCAGGGTTCTGAGTTTGCGGGTCGAGTGGTTCAGTTTCAGGCACCATGTGAGGCTCGCTGGCTCGGATAAAGGAGCTGAACGTCTCAATAGGATCGTTTTTGTTTGCCAGGGTTAAGGTTTCGAATTGCGGATTCAGGCATCGGGAAGCGAACGCAGCTTGTTTTATGTCATCTCCGTGAGAGAGCCCATAGCCCGAGATGCCGAAGCGAAGCATCTCTCTCCTCTTTAGGGTTCAGGGCTTGCTATGAAACACTCAGTGCATTGATGCATTGATATCGCTAGCAGGGTTGAAGATTCTGGGATTTGAGGGCTTGTTGATGTTTTGTGTTGTTGCAGGTTCGGTACATATTCAGTGCCAGAGTTACATCTTAAACATCGTAGACCGATGGTTTGAACAGCAAGCGCCTCGCTTTGTGTGTAGGCACACCACGTATGTTTGGGGCCCCACGGATCTGCAACGCCTACAGTAAACCCCATAAAGTTGGAAACCGGATTAAGGCCAAATAGTGCTGGGATTCCCTATACATTACTCTTAGTGATCGAGGTTGTCGGTTTCCAACTTTTGGGCTTCTACTGTAATGCCTGAAATCCCTGAGCGTGGAGGAGACGAAGGTGCTCGTCGAGAAATGTGAGGTGGGGAGGAACAGGACTTTCAAGGGCCAACTTCTTTCCCTAGGGGTCCATGTGCCTAAGTAGGGTTCCTCTAAGGGTACCAGAAGGGTTCCTTTAAGGGATCCATAAGGGTTCTTTAAGGGTTTAGGGTATAAGGGTCCATGTACCCAAATTGTATACACTGGGGTAGTCCCTATGTAGGTACATTGGGGTCAAAGTATATACTATTTGGGTACATGGACCCTTAGGGACATCAGGTGTCGGGCGACTTCGCAGGTAAGGTGATAAGTAGGGGAACTGCACAGAGAGTTACTTGTAGCTGACATGACGGTTCTTGCAACCATACCCCTAAGACTCCGAGTATGCAAATAGTACCTACTTTGGTGCCTACAGTCTACAACTAGGATGCCCAGTAGTACCCTTATTCCTTTTTTGTAGTCCCAGGTTCCTTATAAAGTTACCCAATACCAAAAAGAGAGGCCTTTTTATTCTTAGGTTACTGGGTATCCTAGACAAATAGTTCCTACTTTGAGCTCTTTGGAGCCTCAGGGTACTTGCTAAGTGGTTCCTTCACGTAGGGCTTGGAGTGGAACTTTGGAGGGCCTTCCGCTTCACCGGTTAAGAGGGTTTAGGGTTTAGGGTTTTGGTTTAGGGTTTAGGGTTTAGGGGTTTGCGGAAGTACGGGGTGCCTGATTTTGGGGTCCTTATAACAAGGATCCTGCTGTATTAGGGTCCCCTAAATTCGGAAACTCCCATATCATAACCAAATAGTGGGAAAAAGGGTACCCTGATTATTGAGGGGCCACTCAGGAATCTTCCTTTCGTCTCCATGGTCGTTCCTGTTTGAGGTTAGCCAATTTTACACTCGAGGATCTTAACCATAAAATTGGATAGCCAAAAACGGAACCGCAATCAAGAGTCCCTAGACCGTAAACCCTAGACCCCTAAACCCTAAACCCTAGGCGTGTAAACCGAATCCTTTCACGGGTGAATTCGGTGTGGGACCCTCAACCCGACCCTAGGAATACGCATAGTGTAGGGGCATTATTAATTTGGGCAGGATTTCGGGGCCATGATACCGCAATTATAGTAAGGAATCCCCAAAAATTAGTATAGTCAGTCATTATTAAGGCTCCCTATTTTACGATATAAACCCAGTACGAGCCGTTTGATTTACTTCAAACTATGGGATCTGCGGACTCAGTACAAGGGGTTATAGTCGGGATAGCGACCCTAAACCTCGAGTCCTCAACCCTTATTCATGTGAAAGCACCCGCAACCTTGGGATGCTCCATGACTTAGAAGCTTAAGCTTATAACTATACCTTTGAAATTCCCAATGCAGTGCCTCAGCTGGGATATCGAGCCTGCTGTTTTAGGATGAGACGGCTAGACCAACACGACAACTAGATGAGACACGATAGGTACTGACAGCTCCCGTTCCCTAATCCCTAAACGCTGCATACGACACCTTAAGCCCTGAACCCGAACTACCCATAGGCCCCAAAGTGGTTCCTTTTTGGGATTACCTTATAGGATTCTACATATGAACCCCAAAAAGGAACTACTTTGGGGCCTTAGGGTATAGATGACCCCGGATGACGTGCGCGCGAGGTCGCGCCGACCCCTCTGGCGCTGGCCGAGAAGCTGGGTAAGCAGGCAGAGCCCAAGGGCCGGAAGTCGTTTTAAAAGGATCCTACATGGATTTGGTAAGGACCCTCGAAGGGTTCCCTTGACAGGTTTTCGAAGGAGTTTACGAGGTTCTATAAAGGTATCATAGCGGTTTCATGTGTGCTTCCCAGAGACTCCAATATCCCTTAATCAAGGAATATACCTTAAATCATATATGGGGTCCTACCATAATGTAAGGAATCTTCCTTAATTAAGGGATATTGGAGTCTCTGGTTTTGTAACGGTGTCATCAGGAGTTCAAATTGGCTTTGGGGACGTTTGCCAGTTCGGTGGCTGGAGAGTTTCTTGAATGTTGGGTATACCCCTGCATGGGCTCCACAGTAGTTCCTTTTTGGGAATACATTGTGAGATTCTGCGTAAGAACCACAAAGAGGAACTACTATGGAGCCCTAGGGCAGGGTGCAGGTTTCGATGTGGAGTTTGTTGGTTTAAGTTTGCTGGTTGACTTCGTGGTCTCTGGTATTGGAGGGAGAGATTTCGATGACGGTAGGGTGTACTGGGGCTGTTTTCCTCTTCTGGAGCCCTTATAAGAGGCGTTATGCCCAAATTCTTAGGTCCTTCGGTTGATGATATAAATCATGCATTACCCATAATAAGGAATATACCATAATTCCCATAGTTTAGGTTCCTTAAGGTAATGTAGGATTTATATCATCAACCGTTCGGATTGTTGGGATGCATGATCTTGGCTAGCAGGCCCCCCAACTAGGCCTTGACAGTACCTTTGGTTCTTGTAGAGTCTTACAAGGGTGTGGGGTTTAGGGGTCATAGGGTTTGGGATGGTTTGGGTTCAGGGTTTGGAGGGTTTAGTTTTTTTTTTGTTTTTAATGGGTTTAGGGTTTAAAGGTTGTCAAAGGGTTTGGGGAGGGTTTAGGATTTTTTTGTTAATGGGTTTAGGTTCATTAAAGGTTCTTAGAGGGTTTGGGTCTAGGGTTTGAGGTTTCAGGTTCGAGGGCCTGTGGGTTCAGAACGGAAAAGCTGGCCCGGGGGGGGGGGTTCAGACGACTTCGAGTCCTCCTGCAAGTGCAGAGCACTCCCAGAGGCTCCCATACCCTGATTTGAGGAACATCAAAAGATCAGGGACCCAAAAATCACATATGCATAAGCATTTTATAAGTATAGGGATATCCCTACCATATTTGCTTATGTGCTTTTTGGTGGCCCCAAAAGCGCTTAAGCCCCAAGCTCCCTAAACCGATGGATGGGATACCCTAATGGTCCATGTACCCATGTAGCATATACTTCGGCCCTAAAGTACCTATATAGGGACCACTTCAGGGCCAATGTATATACATATGAGTCATATGAGTACATGGACCCTTTTGGATATGGATCCTTGCGACTGATGTGAGCGGCGAGGTCCAAACAGGTCCTGAGCTCCGAAGTTCAAGCCGTCATGATTTCATGAAGCAGTATACCCAGAGGCTCCAGATATACTACCAGTACGGATTTAGGAAGACCTCCTGCTGTGGTTTCAGGGACATAAGTCCATAATGGTAGCATATATGGAGCTTCTAGGCAACGAGAATCCCATAAAACGCTTTTACAAAACCGCGAGACGATTACATTTAGGGTTTAGGGTTTAGAGTTTAGGGTTTTAGGGTTTAGAGAATAGGGTTTTGGGTTAGGGTTTAGAGTTTAGGGTTTAGGGTTTATAGAAATTGTTAAGGGTTTGGGTCCCAAAAACGTTTGGCCGAAAGTTTGGCCGAGTTTTTTTTTTCGAACCATGTTTTCAATTTTCTTGGGGGGCTGCGAAACGTTTGACCGTCCCGGGGCTGGGGCTCAGGCTGGGGCTGCAGAACTTGTCCCTAAATCCTAATTCTCAAGAACGTGCATGTTGCAGCTGCATGCAGGATCATATTTGGGTCCCAAAAACGTTTTGAACGAAACGTTTCGAACGAAACGTTTTGAGCGAAACGTTTTGACCGAAAGTTCTGACCGAAACTTCTGAACGAAAGTTTTCTTTTCGCAGCTGCATGCAGGATCATATTTGGGTTCCGAAAACGTTTTGAACGAAACGTTTTGGACGAAACATATGTTCGTACTGACAGCAGGCGCTGAGACGAGTCGAAATTGCTGGCGTGCAACAGTGGTAGCTACTAGGATCGTCATCGCGAAGGTAATGTAGGTTGACCGGGATCACGCGAGCAGGTATATGTTCGTACTGACAGCAAGCGCTGAGACGAGTAGACGAGTCGAGGCTTTTGAGCGAGACGTTTTGACTGTCCCGAGGCTGGGGCTGCTGGGCTTCAGGACCTGAAGGGTTGCCCTAAACCCTTCAAGATCTGAAGGGTTTCCCTGAACCCTTCGGGACCGCGTTTTGGAATTGGCCAGATTTGAAAACTTCTTTTTTTTTCGCAGACAAGAGCAAAATGCTTCTTTCTGTAAGGCGGACAAGATGACACATTTCCGGCCTGGAATGTGTCATGCTTCAGAGCTTGCAAATTTCAATTACGCTGTAAGTTTGTAACGCCAACGTCCACCCATGAACTTCGTATCGTTGTATGGTACAGACTCTGCAAGTTTCAAGTGCCTGGCAATTTTTAATCGGTATGCTGGGCCGTAGCCATGATTACAAACATGGACAAGCCGTAGCGGCGGTTACAAGCTTGTAAGGAAATTGGTTTATCAAGAAGCTTGTTCAATTGTTCATCGGTATGTTGGGCCGTAGCGGTGACTACAAACAAGGACAAGCAATTTCTATTTATCACTTTCTTGAGAGTTTAGGGTTTAGGGTTTAGGGTTACAAACTGCCAGGATGTTTTTGCGAAGCTGAAGGAGGCCCCGGGCGGAGCTTGAGTCAGTTCGAATCCGGCGCAGGTGAGTTGGGGTTCTGGTTTAGGGTCTAGGGTTTAGGGTTTAGGGGTTCTCTTTAAAGGGGTCTATAAGTGATACCAAGGGGTGCATCAGGACTCTCAGGGGACAGTACTTTTGAAGAGGTCCTCAGGCTAAAGGGCTTAGGATTAACGCAGGTTTGGGGTTGAATGCGGTGTGCTGTATCTTCAGGAATCGCCAGGCTTTCGTTTGTCCAGGTCCAAGCCCCGTCAACCACCAAAGCTTTGATGTAGGGGCCGTAATGAGAACAGGGGTTTTGGGGCCATTGTACTGTCGTTATCATACGGAACCCCCCCGCCAGAGTATAGGTAATTATTTAGGCCCCCAATATAGAACTCTATTATATATAGATCCCTTGTAGGCCCCTGTAAGGATCCCTTTAAGGAACCCCCACAATGGTATAGGTAATTGTTTAGGGGGGCTCATACCCTACCCCTTTTTCAGACCTGTTATCTTAACCGTAGGCGCCCTAAAAAGGGGTAGGGTATGAGCCTCTAAGTACATTATAACCTCGAGTTCAGTCCTGGACTCCGGGTCGTATGAGGCTGATGGTTGATAGAGTCGTAGCTTGCCCAGACCTTCCAAAATCCCTAAATTGAGGAATAGACTTTAAATTATAATTGAGAGCCCTAATATGATTTATGGGATATTCCTTAATTGAAGAGATTTTGGAAGGTTTAGGTGCTATCGTCGTAGCTTGCATGATGAGTAATACTGCTTTTGGACAAAATCCTGCATTACCCATTATCAGGACTATACCATAGTTCCCATAGTCTAGAGTCCTAAATGTCCTGCCGGATTTTGTCCATCAGCAGTTAATGACATCCTCTGAGCTGCCCTTTACATTTAGTCCATGATACACTCAAAAAGCCATAGTCTATTACTTGAGAGACGCTATATGGGTACATGACCGAGGCGAATGCGGACGTTTCCCTTGTTGTTGTAGCTGAGGAAATAAGTCCTTGGTATCTGCTCTTGCCGAGATTCTGGCATTCAAACCGGAAGTGCAAAATCAGCTGGTCGGCGTGGGCGTGCAGCAGGTGCAGGCGTTGTGGCTTCAAACAGCCCTCCGCCAACGTCACGTCTGCTGACACAAGCTTTGCCACTTCCTGCAGGGACCGGGCTTCTTATGACACTGCTGAGGGCAGATGGGTTGGGGGCATACTATAGGGTCCTAAATAAGTACCAATATTATTCTGTGGGGTCCTTATTATGAGTATAGTATAATGGGCCCTGCAAACCCCCATTCTTATCATTTCGGCGGCTACATTACCATCCGCACCTCGACCGGCTTGGACACTTCAAGGTCGCCCAGCGCCGTCTCGAGCAGCCCAGCCATTGCAGTGTCCAGAACCGTTTTAAGGCTTAGGGTTTAGGCTTTAGGGTTTAGGGTATAAGGTTTAGGGTTTAGGGTTTAGGTTAGGCTTCTTCGCGTAACCCCTGAGAGCAATGACATCTGCAACTTCCTGCTCAGGAAAGCATGGGATTAGGGCGTAAAAGCCAGAAAGTTGGAATATGATTATCCTAACCCTTCTATGGTAAATTACAAGGTATCCTACCCTGAAACCATATTCCAACTTTCTGGAAGTCCCTTTAGGGCGTAGTATCGTTCAAATAATGTGCGGAATGCAGTTCCTGGGTTCTTGTATTATCATTGAAACCAGAAACCCTATTCATACCTTAAGGACGAAATGAGCCCTAAAAGGGTTTAAGGTTCATATACCATTATAGGGATTCATAGTACATGGGTATAGGGCTCCTACTTTTAAGGGTCATTTGGTCCTTCAGGTATTCTATTCATCTTAATTTGTTACGGGCCCTGCATGACTGGGTTCGTTTAGCTGGGTCCGTGATGACTGCTCCACAACAAGGTAGAAACCTACATGGGCTCTCAAGCCCTGTTACTTCTATCAGACTATATCATGGGTCGCTAGGGTTTTAAGTAAGACGCACAGCGAAATGCCATGCAGGTAGCTTGGGCCGTAAACCTTGGTCCTAATCTCTCCCCCCGTATCCGTTGAACAATAAACTGTAAAGTCCACCAAAGTGCAACTCCTAAACCGGACTTTTACCTAGACCCTCCAACTACTGTTATACCCCATACCCACCATTAAGGACTGTAAGGCCCCTATTAAAGAGCCCTTTGGGGGGTCCTGGTACGGCGAACCATTTTGAGGCCATCCTGGGTTCCTCGCGGCGCAAGCTACATGCTGTGGGCGCTGTAGCTGGTGCCGTCCAAGGCAAGTGGGGGAGGATGTTTGGGGTTTGCGGCTTGCCTCTGTAAGCCGAGAAGTGCACGGTTTAGGGTCTAGGGGTTTAGGGGTTGGTATAGGGGTTTAGGGTTTAGGGGTTTAGGTTTCACTGGAATCCTATTCCCTAAACCCGAAGCCCACCATGAAGGCCCGACAGTCGAACTTTGGAATCGGCTTTGATCTTAAGTGCGGGGCTTGGGACCGTTTTATCCCAAAGGGCCCTCTTTGTTTCGGTGTACGTAGATATTTCTTCCAGTTTACTTAGGGTTTAGGGCTGAGGGCGATGGTGGACGTAGCTTGTGCATGTCATGGCTTGCGCCTCAGAAGCTAACCCCTTGCAGAACCCTAATTGGTTTAGGGTTTAGATATACTGACTGACTGACTGACTCGCATTGAGGTCCGAAGGTCCTGAGCGACTAAGAAGAAGGGCTCAAAAGTTGCGCTGCTATAGCACAACAGCCCGACGATGCAAGGTGAAACAGAAGGCCCCCCGAGCTCGACCCCATCGAAAGGAGGGAGCCCAGACGGGCAGACCAGCAAACAGCTAACCCCGAGACAGCGGTCGCCCCTGACAGCACGAGGCAAAGACCGGCAACACCACTGTCTGGAAAAGAGCTCTAAGCTGCAGCAACAGCGGGCCCCAGGTAAGGAAGCACCACGCAAGAAACGTGCTTGGCCAAGCAAGCGCGCTGCCGGTAAACAGGATTAAGGACGGATGCGTGGACGAAAAGTCAGCATCCGAAACTACAGCCTGGCCGATGAGTGCCTGACCCCGGTCAAAGGACTCAGCCGACGAAGTTGTTGACGGTAGATGTTCCACCCGAAGAGAACAGAAAATCCCAGCAGACCCGTGGCATGTACGAGCTATCCCACACCGTGGCCATGGAGACTACGAAGCCAGACCCGGAGCCTGCGGCATCAGCAGTAAGGTGATGCCTAACAGGCAACAGCAAGAGGAGCTGACCACCAGGATCTAATGTGAGCCATGAGCCGTAAACCACAGCACAAGCGTCGAAAGTTGCCCGCCGCGGATTACCGACACATCCCGTCACCAGGTCAGAGAGCACCACGAGCTTGTTGAGAGACTGCCACAGACCGTCGCAACAGCTCCACATCGCAGCAATCGTAGTCACATTGCCGCCACAATGACTCAGCACCAGGATGAGGCAGCGTAGCATCCAGACAGGACGCCAGGCACCCAGCTTCGAGCCGGAGTGCCAGTGCACCCAGCTTCAAGCTGGAATGCGGCGCGGCGATGGCAGATGAAGAAGATCAACTACCTACTACCGCTGGGGTCTGGTCAACTTTACACAAGGGAACACGCATTCAGCGAAATTCCCCCATGATAAAGCCTCGGGCCGAGACGCCTGTTTAGATATACCATACCCTCGATTTATCCAGGGTCCGGAAGGGTGGCCCTGGGTACCCTTGGGAACAGGGTCCGAAAGGGTCGCCCGACCCATTCGGACCCTACCTCAGATATTAGAGAAGCAAGCCAGTTAAAACCAGATTTAACTTGCCTGCGGTAGTCCTGCGGTATCACCGCACCGAAAGAATGCCTTTTGGGGGGTGGCTGACGGGGGGGGGCACTAGGCATTGAAATACCTTGTAGACCCCCGGAGTGCCTTGTATGGGGGTCATAGAATATGAGAGAATAGGTGTGCTGGCGAGTGGTACAAAACATTTACCCTGAAAACCTAAACCCTGAAACCTATACACCAAAATCCAGAGACATCCAAAAACCTCAAAATCCAGAATCCTTGGAAGAGCCCCTGAACCCACAAACCCCTAAACCCAGAAATTCTTAACCCTTATGTCGCTTATGTCCCGCAGTAACCCAAAACCCCAAGCGCAGAAACCCTAAACCCAGAAAGCCCTTGAACCCAGATACCCACCAAGCCCCCAAACGCAGAAGCATTGTACCCAAGCGCCTGAACTCAGAAACTGAAAACCCAAAACCACTGAACAGAGGAACCGCTGAACCCAGAAACCCTAAACCCAGAATCCCAGAAACCCTGAGCCCATATCCCAGAAACCTTAAACCCAGATCCCAGAAACCCTGAGCCCATAGCCCAGAAACCCTGGCATGAACAGCCTGGCTTCAAGTGAAATCGGCTTGAAGTTGATCCTGTATGTTCGTCCTTAATCGCTACAGACCTCGCCAGGCTTGCCCGAGTGTGAGTGTCAAAACCCAGAAACCCAAAACCTTGTACTCCAAACCCTTGAACTCAGAAGCTAACAACCCAGAACACCTAAACCCAGAAGTTCTGAACCCCCAAATCTGCGAGTAAGCCCAGAAACCCTGCACGCAGAAACCCTAAACCCAGAAAACTCCTGAAGCCAGAAATGCAGAACCCAGAAACCGCAAACCCCGGAAGCCGCAGACATCATAACCTGAAACCCAAAATCACCGAACCGAGAACCGCTGAACCCAGAAACCGCAAACACCCAAACACAGAAACCCTGTAGAACCCAGAATCCCTAAGCCCTTAAACCAAAACCTTAAACCCCTGGACGCTGCACCGAAGCACAATAGCGGCTTGAAGCAAGTCACATGTCGTGCTCGAATCGAGTGGCCGACATGCCGACGCCACAGGGGCGACGCCGGGCGTCGCAACAGGAATCCACCGAGCGGCGCCCGGCGTCGCCCACACCTGTGGGAGCGGGGTGACGCCGGGCGCCGCTCGGTGGATTCCTGTTGCGACGCCCGGCGTCGCCCCTGTGGCGTCGGCATGTCGGCCACTCGATTCGAGCACGACATGTGACTTGCTTCAAGCCGCTATTGTGCTTCGGTGCAGCGTCCAGGGGTTTAAGGTTTTGGTTTAAGGGCTTAGGGATTCTGGGTTCTACAGGGTTTCTGTGTTTGGGTGTTTGCGGTTTCTGGGTTCAGCGGTTCTCGGTTCGGTGATTTTGGGTTTCAGGTTATGATGTCTGCGGCTTCCGGGGTTTGCGGTTTCTGGGTTCTGCATTTCTGGCTTCAGGAGTTTTCTGGGTTTAGGGTTTCTGCGTGCAGGGTTTCTGGGCTTACTCGCAGATTTGGGGGTTCAGAACTTCTGGGTTTAGGTGTTCTTGGTTGTTAGCTTCTGAGTTCAAGGGTTTGGAGCACAAGGTTTTGGGTTTCTGGGTTTAGGGTTTCTGGGCTATGGGCTCAGGGTTTCTGGGATTCTGGGTTTAGGGTTTCTGGGATATGGGCTCAGGGTTTCTGGGATTCTGGGTGTAGGGTTTCTGCGTTCACCGGTTCCTCTGTTCAGTGGTTTTGGGTTTTCAGTTTCTGAGTTCAGGCGCTTGTGTACAATGCTTCTGCGTTTGGGGGCTTGGTGGGTATCTGGGTTCAAGGGCTTTCTGGGTTTAGGGTTTCTGCGTTTGGGGTTTTGGGTTACTGCGGGACATAAGCGACATAAGGGTTAATAATTTCTGGGTTTCGGGGTTTATGGGTTCAGGGGCTCTTCCAAGGATTCTGGATTTTGAGTTTCTGGATGCTTTTGCGCAGGCCCCGCGAACTTAGGTAGGAACCCGAGCAAACAACCACGGCCTGGGAAGCTTGAGTGTGCGCCTTGTCCCGAGGCCCGCTGCCTGCTACTTCTGTGAACTTCTGCGTGGGTGCTGGAAAAATATATGCGGAAACCATGCTGAATATCATGAAAACTATGTTGAGCCATACCCAAATTCAAGCCGAGCCCGACGCAGACTCAATGACTACCAGCACGGTCCGAATGGGTGGGTCCGAAAGGGTCCGGCCAGATCTACGGGAGACCCTGGGAACCACCCTTTCGGACCCACCAAACAGGGTCCGAAAGGGTGTCCCCCGGCCGACCCTGCGTATCTCGATCCTATGATATACCCTAAATCCTGAACTGGGCCCCAAGAGTCTGCAAAACAAAGGGCGTTTTTAGGTTTGGGGCCACTCTTGGGGGGTTTAGGTAAGCCCTAAGCCCTACCCATAGGCCCCATAGTAGTTCCTTGTTGGGATTACCTTATAGGGTTCTATTTCTGAACCCCAAAAAGGAACTACTATGGGGCCTCTGAGTAAACCCTACCTGAAGGACCAAATGACCCTTAAAGGTAGGAGCCCTATACCCATATACTATGAATCCCTATAATGGTATATGAACCTTAAACCCTTTTAGGGTTCATGTCGTCCGTAAGGTAAACCCTAATTGTGTAGCCTCAGGCGCCGCCAAGAACATGGCAAACGCAGCCATGAACTTCCGCCTGGCGCAGACCCAGAGCGCACAAAGCGTCGGGAGCTAAGGTTTACCTGGCTAGGGGTTTAAGCTTGAGGGGTATGGGGATCAGGGGTAAGGGAGTTTAGGGTCTTGGGCTTAGGGGTTTAGGGCTTAGGGTTTTAGGTTTTTGGGGTGCAAGGACCCCAAAATATGTAGAATAATAGCCCTTTATAGGTTTGGGCCATTCTTTAAGGTAGGGATCAGAAAGTCACTTCAAGATGATCCGACTGTTGGAGGCCGGCCATTTGCTACGTGGAGATTTGGGATACTTCTTAATGGTGCTATAGATACTAGAGGTACCCTTTCCTCAGTGAATGGTTCCGGGAGCCCTCAGCCCAGTCTAGAAGGCCTTGGACATTCAGGAAAAACCTTCGTCGGTGTCTGTTGTTCCCTTTCTAGACTCCTTCAAACTCCGCCATGCTTTGCAGCCCGCTGCCACGTAGCCACCAAGGAAGCAAGCACACCGCGTGCTTTCGGCCACACCGCCAGCACCAAGGACTGCGGGTCCGGATTGGAATTTTGAGTGTAGGAGCTGACAGATGGGAGTTTCCGAGAATAGGGGTACCTTATTTTGGAGTCCTTATAATAACAATCCTACTATTGAGGGTACTATATTAGGGTCCCCTATTTTCGGAAACTGCCAGGTCCCGCCGCATCCCTTGCTTCAGGTATGATATATAGAAGCCTGGTTATCTAGTATGTACCGGACTTCCTTGGGGTTCCTTCTTGTGTTGAGTTTCATCTAGCTATCATTTGCCTGAAAACCCTGTTGTTTTTTATAGAGCCCCTATATTTGGTAGCGTATATAGTCTTGGGCCAAGGGGTATCAGGTTCTCTGGCAGGATGTGGGGTTCGCGGGTGCGGCAGAGGGCGACAAGGAAGCTGAAGACAGCTAGACATTTGGGGGTTTTGGGTTCAGGCTTTGCGGTTTTGGGTTCAGGGACTTTGGGTTTAGGTTTTAGAGTTGGGGTTCAGTGCTTGCTTCAGTGCTTTGGATTACTGTTGGGTTTCAGGGCCGTTCAGGGTTATACGACTTTAAGATCCGGCTTGCGGGCATATTCTCCGATGATGCGGGCTCGCAAACCTGAACCCTGAAGTCCTGAGCTATGTTCTCTAGGACCTAGAGTAGGCCCTTATTCCCTTTTTAAGGGTTCAGGTTCCATTATAACCCCCTTTAGACCAAAAAGGGCACCCTTTTTATTCCTCTGTTACTCTTGGGTCTAGTTCTCTACCGCAGGAGCTGTCCGGCTCCTCTTCGCCCAAGCCGCCAGCGTTCAAGCAAAGGCACGCTGGGTGGAGTAGAGCAGAAACGTCCCCGTCGTGTCCCTGTATCACATTCGAAAATCTACTCCGAGGCTTCTACATGGAGGCATTTAGGTGGGGACTTAAAGCCCTAAGGCTCCATGTACCCTTATAGTATATACTTAGGCCTTAAAGTACCTACATAGGGACCCCTTTAAGGGCTAAGTATCTACTATAATGGTACATGGAGCCTTTGGGAAGCTCATGATGCGGAGGTTTTCGGATTGAGCTTTAAGGCTTAGGCGCTGTGTTGGTGGGAGTTTCTCGTGCGGCGTGGGGAGTTGGCTTGAGCTGCAAGCCCCAAAACACGAAGCCCAAGGCCAAGCACCAAAATCCCTAGACCCTAAACCCTAAACTTGAGCCCCAACCTGAAGGACCAAATGACCCTTAAAAGTAGGAGACCTATACCCACATACTATGAATCCCTATAATGGTATATGAACCTTAAACCCTTATAGGGTTCATTTCGTCCTTAAGGAACCCCCAAACCGTACAAACCAACTGAGCCCCCAGAGTCCTAGTCGCTAAACCCTGAACCCTAACCGAAACCCCAAGCCCCAAAATCACTCTAGAGGCTTCGTGGTTTAGGGTTAGGGTTTGGGGTTTGTTTTCGGGTTTTAGGTAATCTCAGAGCCCGGATATCCTAACCCATAAACTCCGAAGCATGGGCCCTTTGAAGCCTTGTCAAGCCCGTACAATCACTACCAAACCCTACATGGGAGTTTCCGAAAATAGAGGACCCTGATATAGTAAGGATCCTTAGTATAAGGACCCCAAAATAAGGTACCCAAAAATTCTCGGAAACTCCTACATAAACCACCAGAACACGACCCCTAAACCTCTGAACCCTAAGCCCCTGAATCCCCAATGGGGGCCGTTAACTTAGACAGCGAACGGGTGAACTTTAAACTTTTTGGCCTTCTATATGACAGTAGCTCTATCTTAGAAACTTTGAACTTATTGGGCCCCGGTTGTTGTAGAAGACGGTAAAAACACCGAATGAAGAATCTTGGTAGAAACACTGAAACTCTTCCCGTAAACCCTAAACCCCCACGTCAGCATTAGCTGAACACCCCAAAGCTTGAAGCTTAACTCCCTGAGCCCTACCTAGACCCCGCAACTACCCACTTGGGTACTCCAGATACCCCTATGAAGGGGCCCTTGTAAAACCCAAAACCCTAAACCTTAGACCCCAGACCTTAAACCCTAAAACCCTAAACCCGAAGCTGTAAGGCCCTCAGCCCTAAACCCTTGACCCTAAACCTTAATTAAACCCTAAAAAATTCCCCAAGAGCACGAGGAGTTTCGGTCGGCCGCCCCCAAGCTTCCGGAGCCTTCAGGTTGGCTAGGGATCCCTTTAAGGGATATATATATATATATATAGAAGTGACTGTAGGGGACCTATAAGGGTTCAGGGTTTAGGGTGATCTATATGGGTAGCTATCAAAATTAAGGTCCCTTTTTGGGCACGCTAAATATTAGGTGCCGTATTATATTCAGGACCCAAAAAGGGGCCCTGATTTTGACAACTACCCATACGGGGGTTACTATAGGGGTACTATAAGGGTTTAGGGTTTAGGGGTTTAGGTTTTCGGGGTTAGAGGTTTCGGGTTGAGGGGTTAGGGGATATCGGGATAGGGGTTTAAGGTTTGGAGGGTTCAGGGGACTGAGATTTAGTGAAGTTTAGGGCTTGGGGGATAGCTTCGTATTGTTCACAAGGGGTTGTAATCTTGAAACCTAGGGCCTAGGGTTGTTTAACGCGATCTATAAGGGTTTCTATACGGCTACTACATGGGAAGTTCTCTCAACTAGGTTCGCTTTCTAGGTCCCCAAAGTAGTATGGCACCCTGATACAGAGGACATTATCAGACATCTCCCTTTGGAGAACTACCCATATGTTCATTCTGTTCACATAGCTGGAATTTCAGTCTAGAGTTTAGGGTTCTAGGTTTCGAGAGTATTCCGCAATTTTTTTTTTGAAACAGGGTTTGGGGTGTAATCCTTGGGGCTAGGGATGTGTCAACCACAGTTGGTCTTGAATACGTGTTTATAACTTTCAGTACAAGCGGTTTCTAAGGTTTATACAAGGGTAGTATACTTAGTAGCTGAGTTTATGAACTTTAAACATTTTGGGATAATGAAACCCTCTTAAAATTGAAAGTTTAAACTTTTTTTGGCTTATGAACTCGGCACCTAAGTATACGATCTTATGATGGTTTAACCGTTTCAATTAATATTCGGCCGACAGACTGTTGCGGCTTTGCCTTTCCAGAGGGATGATTCCAGGACTTCAGATGCCCTAGGGCTCCGGGACTCTAAATAAATAGTAGGTTACTCACGATTGTGTACCCGGTAACCTACTATTTAGGTAACTTATAAGAAGCCTTATGCCCAAATTCTTAGGTCCTTCGGTTGATGGTATAAATTTGCATGACCCATAATAAGGAATATACCGGAGTACCCATAGTTTAGGGTCCTTAAAGGTAATGCAGGATGTATATGGGTTTATATCATCAACTGTATTTAGATAACTGGAGCCCTAGGGATGGACTTTGTGGTGCCCAGAGACTCGAATATCCCTTAATTAAGGAATATTCCGTAAATCATATTAGGGATCCTACTATAATTTTAAGGAAGATTCCTGAATTATGGGATATGGGAGTCTCTGGGTGATTTGGAGGGAGTCTGCAGCTTTCCAGATTAGGAGTCGGGGTATTTAGGGTTTCAGGCTGCGGGGTTTCGGGGGTTTCGGCGGTTTAGGTCAGGTATTTCGGAGCTTCCTATGAACTCTGTACATCCAAAGTCTTCAAAGGCGCCATGGATCCTTTGTGAAGCATATCTAGGACACCTGAAAAACGAAAGCCTTCTAAAATTCATTTCAACGCAAAGCTTTGGCCGCCTTACCTCCTGAATTCAGGCGTATCAACCCTAAGCTTTAAGCTTCATGGAACTTCGAGAAAAGCTTCTGCAGGATCCTACTCGTGGTAGACGCTATAGGGTTTGTATACTAGTAGTAGGATTTGTTATCATGGTTTTGGGTAAGTATATAGGAGCCCATAGGACCTTAAAGGAGCCCTTCAAAGGACCCCATAGAAGCCTTAAAGTAAACCCCCCCCATGCTATGGACCTTTCGGGTTTCGGAGGATCCAATCTCCCATAAGCCCTAAACCCTCAACCCTGTGGCTCCGCTATAGATCCCTTAAAGGAGCCCTAGGTATTCCTCAGTACCCTAAACCCTAAACCCCCCTAAACCCTAAACCCTAAACCCCCCTAAACCCTAAACCCCCCTAAACCCTAAACCCTAAACCTTCCTTAACTAAGAGATCTTGGAGTCTCTGGCCTTCCGAGGATCCTTGTATAGTAGGGACCCTTCTGTAGTACCCCTAAACAGTAGGATCCTGATTACAAGGACCCCACAATGAGGAGCACCCTGTTTTCGGAAACTCTAAACCCTCTATAGAACCCTCATAGATCCCTTTAAAGGAACCCTTAAAGGGCCCCTTTAAAGGAACCCTGGAATTTGTCGGAAACTCTAAACCCTCTATAGAACCCTCATAGATCTCTTTAAAGGAACCCTTAAAGGGCCCCTTTAAAGGAACCCTTGAATTTTTCGGAAGCTCCCAATATGGATCGTTGGGGTCTGGGGAGGATCCATCTCGCATGTCCACGCCACGGCGACGCTTCCGGGGAGCAGCGCTGCCACGCGGCCGGCAGTTTGGGGCTTTAGGGGTTGAGGGTTCGGGGGTTTAGAGGTTTAGGGGTTTCGAGGTGTAGAGGTTAGGTGTTGCGGTTTGGGGGTTTAGGGGTTTGGGCTAGGGGTTCAGGGGTTTTTGTAAGCGGTCAGGGTGCGTGCAACATTTTTCAGGGTTAAGTCGTTTGCGGGCTTGCGGGGCAGTTTAGCTTCTTCACTGGGTTTACAGGCTCAGGTTAAAAGTGTAGGGACGGTAACCTTGGTTTGGGTTACTATACTTGAATACTTTTTTTGGGTGCCTGTTCCTTAGAGGAACCATTATGAAATACAAGTCTATACTTTTTTCTCCCTGGTTACTTCAATAAAGGAAAACAAAACAAACCTGGAAAATCTAGAGACCCCAGCTACCCTTTATTATACCCCAAATACCCAGTCTTAGAAATTTAAGGCCTCTATTACACCCCAAAAACCCACTATTAAGGAGCCTAAGGCCTCTATTAAAGGGCCCTTGAGGGATCCTAAGGGTCCATTCGCCGAAGTAGGGTTCCATACGGGTTCCTTTAAGGGATCCGTAAGGGTTCTATAAGGGTTTGGGGTATAAGGGTCCATGTACCTCAATAGTATATACATTGGCCTTAAACTAGTCCCTATATTAGGTAATTTAGGGCCAAAGTATATGCTATCCCTCAGGGGTCTGATGTAGGTTTAATCACAACAAGGTCTCCCGGCGAGTAGCATCCTTGTGCCCTCGGGTTTTGAGGGCTCCTGATTACAACCGACTGGTAGGAAAAGGGTACCTAGAGGGTCCATATATACTACCATTATGGAATTAGGCCTCCAAAGCCATAGTGGGGAATGGTCTTTTTAGACCTAACTCCATAATGGTTGCATATATGGACCCTGTGGGGTAATTACTTTTGTGTCAATCGTGATTGGTGGTCTCCGCGGTCAGGGGAAAAGGGCCTTAAGGACGAAATGAACCCTAAAAGCGTTTAAGGTTCATATACCCTTACAGGGCTTCATAGTATATGGGTATAGGGCCCCCGGACTTATGAGGGTCCTTTGGTCCTTCAGGTGTGCACCCCACTCAGGAAAGCCCTTCGAAGGCTAAAGGCCCTAAACCTTAGGGGTACTTATAAAGAGTTTTTAATTTTTTGGTTATTATAATCCCTGAGAAACAGCTAAAATTGTAATTGTTGCCAGGGTTCTAAGTTCAGTTCAGTATAGAAAACCTAAACCGCAAGCACTCCTCAACCGTCTGGTCCTAAGCCTCCATTTTCTTCACCTTTGGTTAGTAAGGAATGGAGGAATGGGGTCTATAAGGGTTAATATAAGGGATCTATAAGGGTACCATAATGTAGGGGCCTTAATGATCCTATAACTTACCTTTTGTTAGTAGGGAATGGAGGAATGGGGTAGAATTATAGCTACTATTGCTACCATTCTTCCATTCCCTACTAACCAAAGGTAAGGTTCAGGGTGATCTGCGGCCTGTAGAGCGCTTCAGAGTGCTCTTAGAACCGTATGATTATGGAGCTTTTTCAACAGCCCTTAGCTGTTCTTCAGCACTATAGTCCCTTAAGCCATACTTTACACGCTAAGCCTCAACGAAACCCTGGACCCGAAACCCAACCCCCCCTCCCCGCCCTAAAGAAAAAAGGGAAAACAGAACCCTACCTATCGTCTCAATTGTAGTTCCTTTTTTGGGTTACCTTACAGGATTCTTAGTATATAATTGGTTAAGCCCAAAGAAGGAACTACAATGCAAAACTATAGGTAGCCCTTCCAGGCCTAAGCCCTTCGCAGGCCCTAAGCTTAAGGCTTAAGCACCATAGTCCCCTAAACCCCTCCTAAAACCCTAAGCAGAGACCTTGACTGCAAAACCCTATAAAGCCTAGACCCTAAACCCAAACCCTTGGGGCTAAGCACCGGGGATCTCCGAGGACTGTCATGGCGGAGCTCCGGCTCGCGCGGGCCATGAAGCTTCAGTGAGGACACCCTGTCCCAAAGGCTCCATGTACCTTTGTAGTAGATACTTAAGCCTTAAAGGGGTCCTATATAGGTACTTTAAGGCCTAAGTATATACTATAATATAAGGGCACATGGAGCCTTAGGGTGTGCCGAATCTTCCGTCTGCAGGCAGACTCCGAACAGCCACACACACCCTAAGTCCCTCCACCCTATGTCTAGGTAGGGCTTTGGGACATTTCATATTTGCTCTTATTGTGCTTAAGAGGATCTTACCTACTAATATTTTTCAGAGGCTTTAAAGGCACCTCCTAGATGTCTGGACTTTGGGATTTGGTGCCGACGGCTTAGGGTTTAGGGCTACTCACCCCCCATAGGTAAGAACTGAGTTGGCCGGCACTTTCTGGCACAAGCCGTTGACGGGCACTCTAAATGCCCGGCGACTCCAAAATCCTTTCGTGGCATGATCTAAGCGACGTGGGTATAATTTCGGTTCCGGTCATATTTTTTCCCATATGGGTCCCCATGCCTAGATAGCATACCTAAATGAAACTCTACAGACCAAAGTCTATATAAGTTAGGTGCTTGTAGTAGTCTTAGCAGAGCTGAACGAACCCTGCAAGGAGCTAAAAGCTGTAGAGGTTCATTGACCCTTAGGGTTTTATAAAAATCAGGAACCCTTCCCAGCGTAGTATAGGGCCTTGATAGGTGGAACGGACGGTGAGATCAACATGAAAAATAAGGAAGGAAAGCGAAGGTACGATATCGCTTGTAAGTTTGACCCCTAAGCCCTAAGCCTTAAAGATGGATTTTGGAGTCTCTTAGTGCGGACTTGCCTTCCACGCGCCTTTCGGAAGGGTCGAGGCCCTCCGTGTTGGGAGGACGCCGGGTGTGAGAGTATGCTTAGGATCCTGTCTTGGTTGACCAGCCCCCTGTAAACCGAAAGGCGGATGGGCCATTTCGTTGGGCCTTTCAAGCCTTTCGTTGATAGCAGGGAGCAGGGTTTCTTTCGCAGTAACTCTGTCTGTTGTCGTTCTCGGTATGGGTGTGACCCTTTTCATTATTCTGGCTATGATCACCAACAGCTCTACTTGCTGTTCCACCTGAAATTGTTCAGGCCTCGGGCTGGGAGCGCCCTAATACCTAAGCCCTGAGGGTCTGGAGTGCACCGGGGTCGGATTAAAGGTTTGGGGTGCGTCCCTGAAGGCCTTCCATCCATTGTTTCCATGCCTTCTCGTATTAATCCCTTCCCGTTTTTAAACGGGGGCACCCCCCAATAGAAAACTCGGATGGTGTTTCTAGTAACAGGGAGCATTGTTTTCTCTACCGACGCTTTTGAGGGATCTCGCTCCCTCTGGCTCTTGCTTCCGGGCTGGCTTTTGCTGCTGCTTCTCTTTCTCTCGCTCCTGCGCCTGCTCTTGCTCCTCTTACTCTGACTCCCGTCCTTGCTCTTGCTTCTGCTCTTGCTCTTCCTCCCACTCTTGATCTTCCTCCTGCTCTTGTTCTTGCTCCTGGTCTTGCTCCTGCTTCTGTTCTTCCTCCTACTGCTTTTTGATTCTAGCCTGGCTCCTGCGTTTGCTCTTGTTCCGGGTCTTGCTCCTGCTTTTGTTATTGCTTCTGTTCTGATATTGTTTCAGCAAGCCCTAAACCTTAAACCGTGCTTTTGTTTTTGCTCATCCTCCTGCTCTGCTCTTGCTTCGTCTTGCGCCTACTATTGCTGTCGCCCCTGCTTGTGCTCTTACTCCTGCTCTTGCTATTGTTCCGGACTCCGACTACTGCAAATTGGGTTTTAGGGGGGCAGGGATGATTTTAAGCCCTGTACTTGTGAACAGCACACCCATGATCCCGACACCCCTTCATGTCAGCCATGCGTCGTAATCCCTGTTTCGAAGGCAGGGCCGCAGGGAATGCGAAAAGCGCGCCTTGCATGCAGAATTGCTAGTAGCTGCAGCTGCATGTTGCTTTCAGCACTCCGAAAGGTCTGAAGCGCTTGGAAAGCTTAACTCCAACTACTGTCCGAGTCAATGCCCAGAGGGTCCAAGTAGCCAAATAGTAGGATTTTAGGTCCCAAAATCCATACTCTGAATGGTTTTTTGGACCTTGAAACCCTACTATTTGGGCACTTGGACCCTTAGGGATGTATATGGAAAAGTGAAACTGAAACCCACGCCGTCCGACTCCACATAGTCAATGAGTGCAGGGGTGCAGGATATTTCTCGGCAGCCTGACCCTCAACCTTAAAACCCTGCACCCTCAACGCGATATCCTATACGCTCTAATTCCGGAGCCCTTACCCAACCGCATGAGTGCTAGCGAAGTAGCCTGGAACCCTTGTTGACCCGGTTTCGGAAATTGCTGCTGCTTGACAGTCACAGTCTGGGCGAAGCCCGTATGCCGCACAAGGATGATTTCTCAGAGTACAAGGTCCCTGGGTTAGGGTTTTAGGGTTTAGGACTTATAAGGTTTAGGATTTTAGGGCTTGGAGTGTATGAAGGTTTTTTCAGACTTCCTCGTCGTGGGACCTTGATCTTGAGACATGCCTGTATCGTTTTAAGGCAGTGACTCAACTGCTGGCTTCTATACCCTAAAGCCTTAACCGTCAGCACGATGATCCTTGCTCGGGATGCGTCAAGGGAAGATGAATGACAAAAAACGGTCTTCAGGTTTTGCGGTTTGTTCTGACCGTCCACATGCAAAGACATAGCATTCTCAGCGTTAGCCTTTGGATCTGCAGCTTCTGCTGACCTGCAAGCCCTCAATCGAACACAGCATTCATTTCACAAGCCCTACCTGTAGCCAAGATGTAGTGAATCGTCTCAGCCATAAAACCGGGCTTAGGGCTTAGGGATAATTAACCCCTATAGAGGCGCGGATCCTGTACCCTAAAACCCGTGATGAAGCGGAGCAGGCTAGCTACTGCTCTTCCCAAATCTAACTGCTGTCCTACTTATTCCGTATACCTGAACCCTGACTTGATGTCGTAGGCCGTAACCCTCGTACTTTGAGCGCTCGCAAGCCCCACACTCAAAACAGTAGCTTTGTGGTACCTAGTTCCGTTATAGTAACCTTCTTCTCCCTCTTCTTCCTTGCAGCAACTTGTCGTTCTCAGTTTGGCAGTTTCCAAGACTTCTTCATAATATCCGAGCCCGAGCAACTTTATCATTTTGACAAGTACCTAGGAATGTCGCACCCCCTACCGTACGTCATAACCCAACCTAAACCCTGAACCCTAAGCCCTAAACCCTAAAACCCTAAACCCTAAACCTAAACCCTAAACCCTAAACCCAAGAATTGCGAGCCTCGTGGCTTGTTTTTTTTGCTCCCGGCTGCGCTCAAAGTGCACCTCGGGGGCTTTCACGGCCGTGCGGTGCTGGATCACAGGCTACCATTAATAGGTTCTACATAATTTTCTGCTACAACAAGGTTTTCACAAGGGCTCCTTCAAGGGCTATATTTTTTATAGGGTTCCACCAGGTTTTCTACACAGGCTGCCACAAGGGTTCTGCAATGTACATTGCAGCTAACACATGCGCTCCTTTAACGGTTCATAACATGTGTACAACGGCATATAAAGGCTGAACAGCAGCTTGATAGCCATTTGGGGGTGTTTGGGGTTTCGGGTGGTTTCGGGTTTTTAGGGTTCAAAGGCTCTTTAGGATTACACGCCATGGATGGCTGGCCGGCTGGCTGGATGGATGGCGGACAGATGGATGGGTCTAACAAGTTTGGAAGTTATCTAGGATGACGGACGAATGCAGACCCTTGGCACTGACTTAAGCTTCAAGACAGCCACATGTGCAGGGTGTTGGCATTCTGTTGAGGGAAGAAGTGAGACCCGCATACTACAGGGACCTCAAAAAGCACCTATACTATTTTGGGGGTACTATTTTGGTTGTTCCTGATTATATATATATATATATGGAGTATAATGGGCCCCAAAACCCTAGACAAAAGGGGAAGCCCCTATATGACTTGTACCTTCAAACGGCAAGTTCAAGTCCCGGAGGATCTTCCGAAGTGTCCTGCAAACCCACAACCGGAAGCCGTAGACCCTAAATTCGTACCTGGTGCCTGAACGATCATAAACTCTCAACCCCTATGCACCCTTAAGTCGCGAAGCCCTAAACTCTTAAGACCTAAACGTCAAGACCTGTGCCTAATCCGGCGAGAGCCCTGAACCGGCAACGCCTGACCGCTTCACTGGCATCCCAAACGGGATGCACAGTGTCCCTGCAGGCGCTATCTCGCACCAGCAGTACAAAAGCTTGCCGTTCAGGGCTTGGGCAGCTGGTTGGTTGCTTTGCAATCAACCTTGCCGTAGTGCGTCAGTATGTAAGTTCATCTACGTCCACGTTAATACCGCCAAGAAGCACAGAACCAACATTCCACCAACAGGCCGCGGTTCGTGGAGCATTTTGGTGTGCACAGGGAGGATTTTGCACATTCGGCCACTCCTTGGTTGCAGTTAAATCCCGACTCATTATGTCATTCTTTGCTGCGAGGCGGTAGGTTTCCTATGCATCATTACAAGCATGGGCCGTATCATCCAAACGGCATAGGACTTGAGTTTGATGACAAGAATGAGATGTCATGATTCGAAGTCGTAGCATATGCCACCCTAAAACCCGGTTGCCTTTATGACAGGTTATCAAACGTTGGTTCAATGTCGGCAGCATGAGCTAATCTAGAATTAGAAGGCTGAAGAATCACAACGAATCACCAACAACATTCCTTCGGTTCCTGATGATATTCATATTACTATATGCTCCGCAAACCCCTTCCAACTATTGCCCTAAGCTCTTGTACAGATATTCTAGAGCACACCGTGAGGCAAAACAACGTTGTCATCGGATGCAACGACGGCAGCGTTGTGATGTACCAGGCATGCTTGCTTTGTGCCATAAACTCGAAAAAGGCCACTAATAAACTCTTATTAATGCTCTTGGAGACCCCTTAGGTAAGAGAATCTCAAGCATAAGTTCTTAATGCAGATCAGGGGGGCCCTGCACCCTTTACTTAGCCCT